GTGGGCACCCGCTTTAAATCACCAAACACAATCACAGAGTTTGTCAGACAGATAAAACGGAGCTCCAAACTTTTTTTTCCCAGAGCTGCGCGGAGAAAACATTGTGTGGAGGTGTCTGGCAAGCTGTCAGCTTGTGCAGTCTCCTGGCCCATGCCAGTGTACAGATTTGCATTCGGCTCAAAGGAGGCCCGTAACATCAAAGCCTCTTTGAAGCACCACTTGATGCTGCACAATGGGACAGGTGGAAAAAAAAAACAATGCAACACAGTGTCACTCTGAACTACTGTACCCAGAATGCACCACAGATCCTAAAATAAAAGTGGGACACATCAATGCCATGACAGTAACAACAAAAAGTCATGATGTGCGTTAACAAAAGTAGAACAAAGGTTATTTTTCTACATTATTTCTCTCAGAAAACTCTGATATTTTTGTATTTCCGCTCCGAGGACTTTTGTATGATATCTGTAAACACTGGAGACAGATGACTGTGACAGTCAAAGCAAGGAGTTTGAATAAAATATGACAGGCTAAATAAAGAGCTGCGGGAATCTGTAGCATATAATTCAGAAACTGACATGTAATTACTGTCAAAAGAGTTTCTGTCAGCAACTGAGAAAGACTGTTTTACTTGCATCTACTGTACAAAATGAACACTTTTCTTTTACATTCTTACATAACATAGTGTTTTATATATACAGTCCCTTTAAAGTGAAACAGTTCAAGCATGTACTTTTTAGAGTCTCATAACTCATAAACACAAATATACTCACTTTTTACTCTTTTGTAATGACAATAATTATTTTAATGATTTTTTAAGCACTTTTCGAGAACTGAACTACAGCTCTGTTTTACTCTTCTGGCAGTTTGAGCTGCCAACAGTCGCTGTTTGGAGGCCACAACACGGCTAGCGGAGCTAATAACTACTCTTGAAAAGCCTCCCCCAGAGTTTTTGTGAACGTCAAACAATTGATCCAGAGTTTGGCTTTACTCTTGGTCAAAACTAGGGATGTCAACAGTTAATTAGTTCAGTTAACAGTTAACTGCCGAGAATATTTTAGACCAGTTATGTCTATCGATTTATACAAGGTTCCTACACATTTGGAATTTCAAAATTACATACTTTTCCACTCTAATTTCCAGACTTCTCTGCATTTTTTTTTCCAGAGAATATGCGACATCTGAGTAAATATATCAGTGTATCATATTTGACATCATATTTAATTATTCTTAATAGGCGATTGTAGCCAAGTACCATAATGGCATGCAAATAAAAACTCAGGTAAGTTCAATGTCTGGGCTGAGGCAAAAAGTTTGGGACTCTGGGTGCAAGCGATGCAGTAACGAGACGTCTGTGTTTTTTCCTGTCATGTGGCTCAGAATCGCCTTCTCCCCCATGTTGGCGATGCCACACAAAGCTTGCATCTAGCTCTGTGTGTGAATTGGGAATCCTTGGCCAATTAGGAATTTAATTATTCAGTATATTTATATACGGTACTGTCAAGCCATCCATCCAAAAACTTGCATCTACCCATTGTGAACCACTCGAAACTCATCTTCTTGTCGAAGGTGCAGTGTTGGAGTGAAACTTGATACCTGGGGGGCTGGAGGAGGGTCATGGGGCAGCAGACTGGACATACCACTTGTCAATCAGGTAAAAGGGGCGGTATGTTTTCTGAGACGTTTGCTCTCACACAAACTGTGCTTGGCCCGGCATAAAACACGATCTGGATTTATTAAATTTTTTTTGGAAATACCTAATTTTCTATTTTAGAAAACAGTATTTTAGAACAGTGGTAATAGTCTGGAAACATAAATATTTTTCCATACTTTATTTTTCATTTTCCATAGTTTTTAATTCCTGGAAATTGATCAAATTTATTTCCATACTTGCATAGGAACCCTGTTTATAGGTTATTTCTGTTACTCTTTAGTTTACTGCACTGTGGACCACCCAGATCTGGGAGACAGACAGTCGGCGAGCTGCGTTAAATGCGGAAAGAGTGCCCACTGCCTACCCACTAGTCTCCACTGGTTAGCTAGCCTTGGCCGCACTGCGCTGCCCAACAGTCGCATCTCATTTCTTAATGAGTAGCGTTTTGAAATGTGGCGTTAAAGCTCACCTAGTCACTAAAGCACTGGACTGAAAGGAAAGGCCTCTTGTATTTTTCATCATTTTGTATTTTTGTTTCTCTTAAAAATTAGAGGTCAGTGTCCAGTTTTGAAAGCAAAATCAACTGCAACCCTCAGCAGCCCTCGTCCAAACACCTAACTGTAATATTACTGAAATCTAGGGATGCACACCGTTGGTTTTTGCAAATATCTGATATGCCAATATACAGCACCTCATTTGAAATTTTCATTTTTTTCTCCCATCCAAGTTTTGTGATCATCAGCTCTCTTCCATAGTGGAATTAACATCATATTATGCATACATACTCTTAGCGTGATGGCCCACCAGCAGATGGAGACATGAAATACAATACCTTTCAATGTATGTAATATTTATTCATTGTGCAAAATAAGAAAATGCATGTTGGCCAATTTCAATAGTTCATTTTAGAGCCATTATGGGCCGATGACATGACAATATCATTGTGCATCCCGACTGAAATCCTATTAGTTATGTGCGACACTACTTTGTTACTGCCAAAAGTATTACGTTACTGTAACACGCTACAAAAGTAACGTTGCCCCTGACATGGAAATTAAGTTAGCTAGCAGCTAAATTAGCACAGTTTAACTTTGTGGATACATTTTTATGGTCACAGCCATTACTAAACACTTCACATATAACAACTACTTAACACTGATATAGACTAATAACAACTGTTAAACATGAATAAGTAAGCCACATATGAAAATATAGCATAGCTCACTATTTGAAAGTACTGCATGTTTGTGTTTTTCAGCTTTTGCACAACTTTTCAGAGAGGATTTGTTCATTTCCTCTAGTTTAATTTTTTTTTTTTCAGTGAGTGCATTTTACCAAAAATATATTTTTTAGGACTTTTATTAGCTATTTGTGATTTGGGCTGAGTAGCCACAGGTCATTAAACCAGCATTTGCCAGGCATGCTGATCAGCGGGAAAAAGCACTCACGTTACTTTTGATGGGAGGGTGGGAGGCAAGGATGTTATGATTTGGATTCACTAAACACACTGCACAATGTTCAATTTTTTTGAGAGTCAAGTAACCAATAGAGGCTCACTCGCAGACTCTGAAAGCACTTTTAAGGATCTCTTTAACGCCAGGCACTTTCAAGTTCTTGATTTTTTTAATTCAAGCACTTTCAAGTATTTTCCAGACCTGCGGCAACCCTGCATATATATTGTCGTGCTGACATTTCACATGTTGACACAACCTTCACTCCTAAGGGACTCATTACTTGTTCTCTGTTTGACACAACAAAATGAAACCTACCCCTGTATGTATAACAAGGCATGACATGACTGCTGATAATTTTCCCCTTATTCCGTTAACACAACGATGCACAGAGCCACAGCCTGACCACACCTCACAACGTTCTCTCCCTTCTTTGACCGTTCCTGCCATCACATTTGCACAGCTCATGCATACGCTGCACATATTGCCCATGTTGCCTAGAAGCAGCCCCTGAATGCCTAGTCCAGTCAAATATCTATTTAAATTTACCCCCATCACACACACACACACACACACACACACACACAAACACACAAACACGCAGAGGGTTATCTCCGTTCTTGTCAGATATGACTATGCCATTGATGCCTGCTGGGCTCTGTTGTTGACTTGAAAGGTTTGCGTGTATGAAAGCTACAATAGATGCTCAGATTGCTATTGTTTGGATCATATTCTCTGCAGCTAGTTTAGTAAACAACGCCATGATCTCATAATTCAGCCACTGACTGACCTTCAAATGAAATGCCAAGTTAGGACACGGAAAAATGACTCGTGTGCAGCTCTGAACCGCTGCCGCTGCTGCTGTTTGTGTGTATATATTAAGCTATAGAGTTGCACCGCATCCAGGTAAAGAGGAGCTGAATAAGGGATATGAGCACCAAGCATTAGGTGAATAAACTTTGAATAAACTCTGCAGACTCTCCATAAATCAAGGCCTGACAGTGAAAAGATATTCAGGAGCAAGATTTCATCATTCATTTTCAGGCTGATGTCGAACTCGCAGGCCTGAACTTCTTATCCTCCCACTCATGTGGCTTTGGCTGGTATGGTAATGGGCTTGGTTCGCTTGAAATAAAGAATCCTCACAAACTATACCTATGCAGGTTGTCAAGATGTGACATTGAGCTTTCACAAGCTTCAGTTACACAAACACACACTCTAAAAACACACACAAACACCCTCTCTCTCTGCCCGTCTCCATGTCTCTCTCCCAGAATCTAATACTCTCCACTGAGGCTCTCTCATGTAGAAAACCATTCTGCATTTCATAGCAATCACACCGGGCTCCTGAGCAATTACTTCTGATCGCAGCCCAGTTGGCCTGGACGCTGTTTATCTGCGTCGGCATGGGAATTCTTCGGGCAAAACTCAGACAGCTGAGAGGGAGGTTATTTCTTTTTCATGTGCCACGCGCCTTTGCTAGCATATATGCCTCCCAAAAGACGCCTTGACAATGGCTCAATGCTCATTTTAATTAACACATAAGCCTGTTGATGTTAATTAAAAAGCAGACAGAAAAAGATCACACAGAGGGGAGAGCTGCGTATCGGAACGCAACCAAAGATGCAGCGGCAGTGCTTGGCACTTCAGATGAGCAATTCAGATGAGATTTCCCGTAGCCCTCTTGAAACATATGAATTACAAGTGGGCGCATCAAACCAAGTGTATCAAACAGATTTTTGATGTTAGTTATTTTAGGGGGGGAAAATGCAAATTTGCTGTAATTTGAGAAATGTTTCAAGCAGAGAAACCGCCATTAGATGGGCACTCTAACAATGATAATGTCTGCGATAACCAGATGATGTGGTGTAGTCATGTAAATGTAGTCTGCTTACTTCATGGGCTTGAACAGCGCTTGTCCATAGTTCTGGAAAGTCATGATCAACTTCAGCTGGGTGCCTCCTGATTTCATGGCTGAGAGGAAAAACAATCGAAATGTTAGATTAGTATTTGAAGCACAAACAGTAAACACACACACACACATAGACATTAACACACAGAAATATGCCCACACATATGCACAGCTGTTTCATTATTTGCCAATTTGGAGGATCCAATTTTGCATGACTGCATAATAGAGCTATCACATCTGCTGACCAATTTGCCAGACACTGTACAATCAAAGTGCAACTGTGGCAGTTAGGAGCTGGGTGTGACTGAGAGAGAGAAGTGGCGTGAAAAGCATCTGCTGACAACTACGGCGAGTTCTGGGTTTGATGGCGGGATACAATTGGAAATGGACAATTTTTCCGAGTGTAACGGAGTAGGGTTGGACAAATACATTGGCCATTACTGGTTGTTTTGTTGGGGCGAGTTTCTGGGTGATTTTTTATTTTGCTAATTTCATGGTCTGCCTCCAAAGAAGGGGTCAAAGCTGCAGCTCAGCGGGCAGACCAACAGCAGACAGAGACAGCGAGGGAACACGGTGTGGGGAGCCAGCATGTTTTCACAACTTACTCTGTGAATTAAGGGTTCAGTTCAACCGAACCAGATTTAGTGTTTGTTGAAACATTGAACAGACTAGCCAAGATGATTATGGCGAGTTACATTTTGTTTCTGTTGAGTTTGAATGAAGTGTGTCTCACAATGGATTATCAAGGCAGTTAAGCTAGTCTTAGTTTAATGAACAATATATGATATTCATGATATTTTGTGAGCTTTTGATTTGTTTATTTATTAGATAAATATAAATATATATAGTTAACTTTATAGCTAATTGTTCGGTTGTATTTCCTTATTTTTGTTAATTTGCTGCAGCTTAAAACATGACAAGTATAATTTAGTGTAAGCAACTAAAGTAAACCAAGTTAGTCTGACTTAATTCAACAGTTGTGTTTACTCAGTAGCATTTAGAAAATGTATTGTCTTATAAAAATAATCCTGATAATTTCATCAAACTTATTATGTATGTGCCTCAAACTGTAAGAAGATACGTGAACAAGTGTTAACACTGTGCTTTATATTTGTGTTCTGCTGGTTGCAAACTACTCAGTTACATTTATATTTACTTTGGGATGATAACAACACAAAACTTGCAGATATTCTAAGTCCACCACATTCAAAAATCCTCTTAGTCATGCTACAAGATACATGTTTTTTTTCCCGATACGACACAAGGCGATACGACATGATATGTTATGATAGGATAGGATATGATACAATGCGATGCGATATGCTTTATTGTCCCTGTTGGGAAATTTTCTTGGACTCAGGAGCTTCAAGTATTGCTGCCTTACAATAACTGTCCAGAGGAAATTAAGCATACACCATAAAAACATAAAAAATCATAACAGTATTGCACATCAGTCATTCGTGTATTGCATAAATCACCAGCACACAACAGAGCATCATAAGCAAAGCATAACACAAACCCTAAAGCATCAAGCGACATCATTTAAAATGTCTGTTTTATATGCATATTTATCTAAGGCTAATGTTTAAAGGCTAGTGTTTTAAATTCTACTGAGTAAACACAACTGTTTAATTAAGTCAGACTAACTTGGTTTATTTAAGTTGCTAACACTTAAAAAAGGATATGCTTATTTCACTTGTTTTAGAGGTTGGAATGACTTCACAAAATTAAGTTAATACAACTAAATTTTTCCTAAACTAACAATTAGCTATAAATTAAACATTAGACTAATGGTTATATTTACCTAACTTTTTCAAGGCAATCAGTTTCCTAGATTTTTTTTTTAAGTAAGATCTACTAGTCAGATTTTACAGTGTAACACACTAACTGTGTGTTCTTGTAGCATGCATGTTACTGTAGAACAGTGGTTCCCAACTGGTCCAGCCACTGGGTCCAGATTTCTCCTTAGTCATTAGTTCAAAGTCCACACAGTTTAATACATTCAGCATCATACTTGTGTTTGGCCATGTCATCAAGCTAGTTTGCTGTCTCTGTTAAGTAGCTGTCTGTTAGTCACTCACTTTACGTCAGGAAACTGCACTGTAATTCACTGTACTTCAAAGTAAAGTGCTCTATAACAAGTTTTTACATTTGGGAGTCATCTGCGGTCCATTCAGAATCAATCTGTGACCCACATTTGGACCACAACCCATCAGTTGGGAACCACTGCTTTAGAACATTTAGCACATAAAGTCCCCTGAAAGTACAATTCAGCAGCTTATTATTATTATTATTATTACAGTGCAATTAGCATTTGGAAAATCTGATTAACAAAACTTAATTTCCTGAATCAAATCAAAGATTAACTGTATGTTTCCATCTACGTGCAAACCCTGCATGACAGACCTGATTCTGACCAGATGTTTCTCTGTACACATTGTCAGGATTTGCTCGGGCACGCTGGACTCTCCACAACAACTTCTCCTCTCGCTTCTACCAAACCGACCTCCTGCACCCTGGGAGAGGAGCCAGGGCACATGTCTCTGACTATCAGTCATATCCACGGTGTCTCCCAGGGGCTGACGCAGACTCTCCGTGAGCTTCCTGCCTGCCTCCGACTTAAACAAAGAGACCGCCAGGCCTGTCTAAATGCCTTGTGTTTCTGTCATAATGGACAGGCTTTCGGGGGATTTGCCCATTTATTACAGCGCATTAACTTGAGCATATTACACAACACAGCGCTTCTGCCTAACCCCAATATCAACATAAGCCCCCTGTAGTGGACCCTCTTACTAAATGCCTTGCTGGCTGAGTAGCCGGCTTCACTCTACCCCCTACACAGGACTGTCTTTTGTGTTTATTGACTCCCTTGGTGTCCTTCTTCCTTGTTTGTATATGTCATCCTTTTATTCGTATTCTCTCCACTCTGCTCTGTCTGTCTCACTTTGCTTTACTCACCACTGGCAAGCCTTGGTATTACCGTGACTCATTTTCAAAAGCTTTTGGATTTTACATCCACTGTTGCACAAAGTACAACCTACGTAACCTCGGGTCAATGCCTCTTCTTCATGACACAGGATGAGTATTGAGTGAAATCAAAGCCAAAGAATGCACTGAGAGCATTAGGCCTACACACGTGCCAGATTTGCTGCAGCCAGGTCAAGTGGATGGTGCCCCCGAGTAATCTTTAAACTTGGTGCAGCTATACAGCAGGCCTAAAACCTTTGAGAGATTGCAAACGACCTGACCATGTTTTAATGCTGTGACCTTGAACCCGTAAGCCACAATCCTTGAGGAGCTGACCTCAATTCTCTGCTCTGTGCTGGACGTTTATAAAATTTAGTTTCTAATTGGAAACTACGAAAGGTAATCCTCCGTGAAAAACCCCGGCAAAGCTCAGCTGATTGTTTCTCTGGATTGTATCTTCACTGACATGCAATCAAACAGGACTTGAACAGTAAACTTCCAACAGGACATTCTTTTGAGTCTCCTAAAGGCCATCTGTCTCAGTATCCGTGTGCGTGGATGTATGTGCCCCTGTTGATCTAACCATCCATCTCTTGCTTTGTTTCTCCGAGCGTCTGCAAATGAATCGATGTCTTTTCTAAACCATCCTGTTCTCTGGTCTCTCACAAAGCTCCAGGCCTCGCCCACCATCATCAGATTCCCCTCCCATCCCCGTGCTGTGATGATAAATCCACCCCGCTCCCACCTGTGCCACCTCACAGCACTGTGCGCATGATTTATGAGTCCGTCTGAAGACTGGACAAAAGGCCAGAGAGAGACAGACACAGAGGAAGGGAGGCACTATTGCACAGAAAATGCTGAACAGAGAAACTTTCTAATGCTGTCTCTGTTTTGTAATTGTAGCGAGACAGATAAGTGGTGAGTGTGCGTGCCAATTATGGGGCACAAAAGCTGTAATGCATGCTTCCACTTCCAGCCACACACACACACACACACACACACTGCACCAGGTTTTCTTTTCAGCAGACAGTGTTTTTATAGGTGTGTCTGGGTGCAGATTGATGGTTTATATATTACAAACAGAGAGGACCGAAAACACAAACTACTAAGTGTAGACGGAGATATGTGGCATGAATGATTGTGAGCTGCCTGTGAGAGGCTCCTAACAGTGAGACAGTGGAGACAGCGAGAGATAACAACATGCACCAGTGGATGATATTTTGATATTCACTGCCCAGTTTTTATGAAGCCACGATAGCAAAAACGATAACGTCTTTTCAGGAGATTTGTCCAAGATGACATCAGTATAATGAGAAGTTGAAAAAACTACAATATAGTACATTTACAGAGCAAAATAATTGGGGAAAAAAACTACAAATTAGTCTTTTAGCAGGTCTTTTTCTTAAAAAAAAAAAAATCAGACATTTGGAGGAAACTTTTTTAATGGCGCCTTTGCACCTTGGCATATTTTTACTTTCCTCAGTTTTTCAAAACAGAATTTCTCAAAGCTCGTCTTGATGCTCAAGTTCATTTACTCCTGCATACAATTTGCATTTATTAATCATCTAAAAGCAAAGTTTCTCCAAATGAAAGACAGTAATGGATACCTAGGAATTAAAGCAACATTTAGACATTCAAACTTTGTAGAGGGAAATTCTTCTTGCATGTTTCTCTCCAAGTTTGCCTGAAAATGTTTAGCAGCAATATGAAGTTGATCCCTCGCTTCTACCCATCTGTTATCCATCCTCACTTTCAATTTAGTGACACAGCACATGTTTTCAGTCAATGGTCAGACGAAATCAAGCGCAGGCCGGAGCTTTAAGGAATACAATCATTAAGCAGCTGTAACGCATATCTTTAACCAACACGCTGGCCGACGCACACATGCTCTCACACACACCGATACATTATTTAATAAATAAAGTTTGTTGGAATCTATAGTAAGCTCCTCAGGGGAAAAGGCTGCAGGTTTGTAAACTTGCACACAAAAGCAGAAATGCAGATAGCAGGCCAGATGTGTGTGATTGTGGCCTCCTTCCCACACACATGCGCACACAGTCTGTTCAGTCAGGAGCCCACATGTTGGGATTCGTTGTGCACTCAAGACAAGGCAGGTGCACACACACATCACTCTAGGGCTCAACCTGGTGCAGGTTTATTTTTTCAATATGAATCATATTATTGTAATGAGTCAACATAATTTTACTCTTGCAGGGTGGAAAGGCCTCTCAAGTTTCATCATACCACAGGATAGTAAAAATTTCCATTGAGACAAATATAACTGTCATGAAGATATTTTTAGGTAGGCCACCAATTATTTGATCTACAGTTAATAAAAATGACACAAAAGTAATATTTCATTGACACACTCTTCTCAAGTTTTAGTGATCATGTTGGTGCTGGACAACATGAGGCCAATAACACATGATTACTATTGGCCCCAGACTTCTGCATCTTACCTATAGACTGACATATACACACGCACAAACACACACCTTGGTTACATACAGCTCTCCCTGGCTGACTCACCCACGCTGGTGATCCTCTGCGTGACCAGGTCCTTCAGCAGAGCATCCAGCACCAGACTGTGTCTGGAGTACAGCTCGTAGCGGTTGATGCCGATGTGGAAGCGTAACCAGTTGGGGTAAGATTCCGCCGTCACCTCTCCTGTAGGAGAGAACTCCTCCTCCTCATCGTTCCCCTCCTCATTGTGCCTGAAAAGCAGGGAGAGGAGAGGAGGTTTAACAGGAAGTTGTGCTGCAAGCAGATTCCTGATCAGATTATTTTTAGTCTATGTAATTACAGTGTTTGTTGCAGTCTCTTCATATAGACTAACTGTATCAGACAAACTGGCTCAGAGCATTTCATTCTTGCAACACACTGATTTGTTAGTATCATGAGGTTACAGTGCGGTTTAATTGACTGGTATGATGTGAGAATATTAAAAAGAATAGTAACTCATAAGTTGCGTGCCTACAGAGAGAAGATGGCATGACAGTAGGAGAGATGGGTGGATGCAGCAGATGGATGAGTGGACATTATAGTGGAGGCAGAGAAAACTGACTTGATGGATGGAAGCACCTGTCTGCTGGCTGATTTGATGATATTCAAACAGGCAGGCAGACATATAGTCAGATAGATATGTGCACAGGCAGATGTCTCATGATCTGTAGGCCTGCATGGACATTATGAACAATATGAACTGCACCAGCATCAGAAAGCACAGGAGCTCATATTTAATTCACTTCAGAGTGGATAGCAGATTATTTCCTCATGGAGCAAACATGTATTACCACCTAGTTTTGGTCCCCTGCTTGCATCCCATTTACAGTCAGATATGTTTAAAGCAGTGTGTTTCACTTGTAACCCTTTAACTTTAACAAATCCCCATCAGCTTACCATGCTTGGTTCCCTGTTGCTCTGGGGTAAAATCTGATGTCTGTGTTCACGTTAAACAAAGTGTCATCGTCCGTGAGGGAAGGAAGGTCAACCTTGTATAAAGGATGCTCAAACAGAGCAGACAGCCGGGAGCCACCGTGGGCAGGGACGGTCCGACCCCCGCTCGCGTCTCCGATGAGCGGCTTGTGGTCCTCCGCCTTCCCCGCCGACGGTCTCATCCGCCTGAAGGACTCCGCTCTGTCCACGGCTGCTGTGATCTTTTCCAGAGAGTGCGACGTGAGGTTGGAGCTCGGCTCGTTGCTGAAATCCTGCAGGATTCTCAGCGTGTGCTTGTTAGGCCAGCCCGCTTCAGCCGCCGACATGGCGCGCTGCTTCCCCCAGCCCTGCGACTCCCCGCCCGGGTGGTGAGCGCACTGACAGCCGCCGTCCCCGCTGTCCGCTCCCGCCGCCCGCTTCTCGAGTTTCGGTAACAAGTCTATCATAATGTGCATGGTGCACGCCACCAAAAACACCATGAGTATGAACACTCTGAATTTACGAAACAATATCATCTTTGTGTATTTTTTTTGTCTTTACGCAGAGTAAGCTTTAAGCGCAGCGCACCTTACGGCACCGACATTGATGTCCAACACTGTTATGCGATGACAAAGCAGCGATGTTGGCTTGAAGATTTACTGTGATCATGGCACACATAATGCGTGTCAGCCTATGTTAACAACTCCATGATGTGCTCTGTCTTTATTACTATTATTTTTTTTGTTACAATAGTCCAGATTCTTCATCCCCAGACAGGTGGACACATTGTGAGCTCTGGACACTTCACTGGCAGCGGCTCAAGAAGTGCTCTTCATTCATTGCCTTGTTGAGCAGGATACAGTGTCAGGAGGACGGACCACTAAATAAATCGTTAAGAAGAGGTATCAGGAAGGAGGGAGGGAGAGGGGGTCCTGTTAAAAGCACCGATATTCTTCCTCAAATCTGCTTCCTTGTGTTGCTGCCAGCACGGAGTGAGCTGTCAAATGTGTCACAACTGAAAAAGTGACAAGAGAGATCAATATAGTCCCACCAAAAATCACAGCCTTCCTTGTATTTAGGATGAACTGATAATTAAAAAAAGAAAGAAAGTGGAAATTCCATAAAAAAGAACAGGTGATCCGCTGAGATGCTTGGATGCTGTCCCGCTCCTGCTGTTTGCAAAGCCTCGCTGAAGTCAAATCAGAGACTGGCTGGCAGGTGCAGGGATCCTGGTTGTCATTTGTCCCCCCCCCACCCGTTTACACCGCCTTGTCTTCCTTCCAAGTGTTCATCCAGGGTGGGTGTGTTAAATATTATGATCGGAGCCCTCTGAGCCCAGCCTCGGTGGCGTCACGAGGAAGAGGTTGGCTGCGTCTGCACATACAGCACCAGTGACATGAAAGGCGAGCTTCAGGGAGGAAAAGCTGAAACCTTTTGAGGCTGCAACTCCCCTGTACGCAGCCAGAGGGCGTCGGCACAACCCGAAACACCATCCTGGCTGTGTAAAATATGATCTGAAGGACAATGTGTGTGTATACCTGCTGTATGCCAGTCTGGGAGGATGAGCCGAGGGGTCACCAGCAAAACCAGGGAACATTTAAATCCACTGTAACATCCATAAGAAGCTGACACATGCAGACTATTACACTGATACCAGACACAAAAGTCTGTTTCTTGAGAGAAAACCAAACATCCTGGGCAAAACACACTCACTCACACCGACACACCCACATTCTTTGATAAACATAGATTGTTGGAATCTATATTAAGCTCCCGAGAGACAAGGCGGCTGATTTATAAACTCGCACACATCAGCAGAAATACAAAGTACCAGATGTGTGTGATTGAGACCTCCTTCTTGCATGCTACACAATCTGATTCATTGCACTCTCAGACATGCTTGTTCCAGCGTCTGAGAGCCTTGATCATTTGTTTCACATATTTTATTGCTGAAAACAGTGAATAACATTTTCCACAAAGCCCAAATGTATTCAGTTTACAATGATGTAAAGCAGAGAAAAGCTAATTATCACAGCTGAGAAGGTGAAATTAGAAAATGTTTGACATTTTTGCTTAATAACAAAACAAAAGATTATCAATCAATACAGCTGTCGGTTTATTCTCTGTGGATCTTTGGAACAGATTACTACACCGACTGTTTTTGCACCAACCATATGCCTCTAAAGCACAACACTACAATACATAAATAGATAGGAACATAAATAAATGAAAGATTCAGAAGTGTCTGGTTCATGAATCTTCAACCAAAACCAACTCTGCTATTAAAGCAAAAACGAACTCACAGTAAATATTCCTAAAATATTTTCTATAGCTAAGTATCTGTAATAAATACTTTTAATATATCAACTGAAATAACCTAATACAAAGCATAGACTGTATGTAAAGATGGACAACCTGTCTCAAATCACACCTTCTGTACAAGAATGAAGCCAAATTTCGAGAATATCCTGGTGATTTGGAGCCAGCTTGTGCAGTAGCAATCAAGTCTCAAAGTCCTGCCCATACACCCTTCCACATAACTGCAAGCAGCAGCATTGATTGCAAGCACACTGATTGGCACACATAACTTTCAATTATGACATCAAACCCCCTTTTTATAGTGTCAAATAACTAATTAGGCAACAACTTATCAGAAAACAAACACTTGAACATACATCAGTGTGATGAGAATTACCTAAAAGAACAGAAACCATCTTTAGGAAAAATTATTTGACGTGTACTTTGATCTTTTAGTTTGGCCCATGTCCCATCTGCTAACATAAAGGGGGCCAGGTTAATGATTTATACTGCAGCCAGCCACCAGGGGGCGATCAAGATGTTTTGGCTTCACTTTTGGGGAGCTGTCATGTTTCCCATCTTTATGTACAATGGTGATTTCAAAACTTCTTCGATCTTTTTTTGTGTGCAGTGATTGCTTGCAGCCAATCACTGCAAGCATTCTTTAACTTAATGCGATTTGGGACTGGCACACTACAGCAGCAGTTACAAACCATACATTCTGTTGTGTGGTGAAGTCCAGGGCTGTGTATTTGATTGAGTTGGCAGTCCGACGTGCTGAGATGCAACCATAATCTTCGGAAGTATGGCTGTATGCCTGGTGGTATTTTACGCAACCAAATACTTCCATTCTAAAAAACAAGGATACCAAAGCTTTATTGGTATCGGTATCACTTTAAAAGTACTTGTATTGGTACTGCTATCATAATTTTTCAAATGATTTTCAGCCCTAATACTTCATTATCTTTGTGCCTATTTTGTGCTTATGCATTCAAGAGACAGAGCAACATGGAGTTGGAGTTATGTTACTGGCCACCATCAACTGTATAAAATAATGGAAGTAGCCAACGTGACGTCATTCAGTGGTTTGTGGACTCTCATTTTGAAGCCTTGAGTTTGGCATTTCAGCCTTCGACATCTTGTTTTGTTGGAGCCAAAAGCGACTGAGGTGACCATATTTGGATGAAAGGGTGGAGCCATGGAGGAGCGAGGGGTGAATCCGACTGAGAGCTTGAGGATATCAGCAGACAGCCTGTCACTGGAAGTGGCCTGCCCTTAATTATGCATACCATTAAACATAACATTTAAAAGGGTGTTACATAACGATTCACCACCTAAACAGTTGTCATGAACAGGGATATTAGCTATAGAGACCAAAATCTTTTTTTGTACCAGGCTGTAAAGTTGGACATTTTAACATGGGGGGACTATGGTGATTGACTGGCTTTTGGAGCCAGCCTTAAGTGGCCATTGGAGGAACTACAGTTTTTGGCACTTCTGCACTGGCTTCATTTTTTTCAGCTGCAAAGGTTGCTGCTTGCTGGTCAAAATTAGTCCAACATTTAGTTGTACTTTAGCTCTGGTTTGATCTCCACCAGCTCCTAAGAAAAATAGCTGGGTCTCAAGCTTTTTACAGAAGTTTGACCTTCATTACTAACCACATACAGTTGGCCTGTGTCTGCTTGTCCTATAATGTGGTGCTGCATGTACTCCATCATACACCTTTGAATGTGTTTCAAGTCTGTCTCTGGAAATCTTGGCTCATGCTGTGCTGTCCACTCAAACTTTATTTTCAGACATTAACAATTCTGTTTTAATCAAAGACTTTCTAATCAGATTATTTATTGTCCACAAACATTACTCCTCTTCCACGGATGTTTTGCAGTCAAAACACACTACCTGCCTTCTCAGAGGCTATTCTTTTCTATTTGCTGATAAAGTGAAACACACCTTTCATTTAAACTGCAGGGGGACAAAACACTGACAGCAATTACCGCAGCCGGCACTTATAGCTGAGGCTGGTCCAGATTTCTCTGAGACTTTGCAGGATTAAATGAATAACATTTTAAGTGCCATGGAGTTCATTCAAGTTGTGGATTGCAGGCCTTCTGACTGCCAGAAAATCTATCTAGCCATTTTGTCTCAAAGCAGCTGGGGTACACAATGTTCGATGGGAAGCAAGAAATGTCTTCAGCTCAGTGGAATCACAAAGTAATAAAATGAACAAATTATACATTGGCTTGTGTGTGTGCTGTACAAGGCTCACCAAGTGGGCCCGATTGGAAGAGCTTCACTTGGCTTCTGCCCCTCCTCCCAGAGGCACAGAGTTGGAGTTCATGCCACTGCCAGATTTGTGCATCTAAATAAAACAGGATCTTAAAGCTAACAAGCAAACAAATTGTTCTCCCAAAGGCAAGCCTGCTGTCCCAATTCATCTCCTGCTTCAAACAAAACAAATTGGCACGTGCAGACACATTAGAATCCACTGATACTAGAAAGGTATTTTATGAATTATATAATTTGCTTCGGCTCAAAGAAAAAAAAATAAAAGGTTAACCACACATGAGGGATTTTGTAAATTTTATGGTGGGAGCAGTCTGAGCCTGCAAGCGTACTAGAGTTGCCTTTGGCTCACAACATCAATGTGCATTGCCAATAAACCAAGACCCAGTCCATATCAGCTGATGAAGCATATTTGTAATGGCTTGCTTGAAGCAACTGCAGGTGTCTGCTCTCTAAAACAGTTGTCTCCCTCACTGTCCAGAACTTCATGTTTAAAAAATTACAGAGAAGAGGTTTTGTTTTCACCTATGGGGTCACCAACATGGTCATCAAATACTGATGCTTTGTCTGATACCAATAGTGTCTGTATGAGATGCACCTGGCTTTCAACTTACTCCATGTAATCCCATCCACAGCAATAGTAGATGCTCAGAGCAACTGACATAGTATAGAATAGTACATGTCTGTGTACAGAGGAGATTGGGGTGGATGGGTGGGTCAAACAAACGGGACCATACCTATGTTCCCTGGGTCCTATGTTCCCCCATAATATAGGGACACTTTTTCGAAAAAAGGGTCCTATTTGTCGCGGTATTCGATAATTATAGTGGAGAAAATGAGCCCTTTCTAAATATATGTGACTCTTGGGGAGCGTTGTCTGCGCCTTTGGGCATTGAATCATGCAATCACATGAGGCAAGTGCGTTTTTCTTTCACGTTTCAGTGGGGAACATCGGACCTGGGGAACATAGGACCCTTTTTTGGAAAGGGAACATATCTATGTTTCCAGGGTTCTATGTTTCCTGGGTTCTATGTTGCCCGCTCAACCAAGCGGGAAACATATAACCCTTTTTGTGTAAGCGGGGAACATTTAAGCTTTTTTGCAGGGTTAAGTGGGGAACATAGTAGGGATAGGTCACGATTTTCGAATTTTCGAATAGTCGTTTTATTTTGAAAAATCTATTCTTTAATGCGACTATTACTATTCGCCGTCTTATTTCCCCCATTTATTTGACATGCAATTCAGCTCCCACCGCACAAGGGCAGTGTGAGATGGGCTACCAGCTAGTTTGATGCTCTTCTACAAACAGGAGAAACATGCAGAGACTACTACAGCCATCAAAAAGTTCTGTGTGGAACAACTTCGACAAAATAAACGAAAATGAGGTGCAGTGCAAACTCTGTGAGGCAAAGCTTGCGTATCACAAGTCTACAACAAGTATGCACAGTCATTTGAGAGCGAGGCACGCAGGAGGCGGCGAGGGACCGTACCAGCCGGGTTCCACCGGGCCCGTCAGCGGCGCGACACATCTGCAGCGTGAGTCCTGTAGCATCTCGCCCCCCTGTTACTCAATTACAGTGGCTCCACCGGCAATGGGAACGGTGCGACAACCCCCGTCTGTCGTGCGACAACTCTCTATTTTACGCGGCTCTTCTATTTTTGTCGTGCTACGCTCCCCTACGCAACCCTCCAGCAGATAAAACTTACGTGAAATAGTGTGCTAAACGTGCACAATGTGTTTTTAAATGAATAAACCATTATCAGAGGTGATATGTGATGACTTTTTTTCATGCATTTACCCATGTTT